GACCTCTGTCTCCTAACCTGAACACCTCCCACACTCGTGACCTTCCTGCATTCCCACCTGCGTGCTCTCATCACTGAAGCTGTTGCCGTACATGAAGCAGCCTCGTTTGGAAGCGTGCCCGTGCAGGTCCACGTAGTAAGCAACGCCACTCTCTTTCGGAGGGATGGAGTCGGGGGCTGGCTGCTCCCCCTCAGCCTGTTGTGGCACAATCCACATGCTGTCGGGTTTTTGCTCTGTTGGCTCTGTCAGCGTCCAGGCCTCCGGGTTATCCCCGGCCGATGAGGGCTCCAGGTGAGCTTCATTTTGGAGATTGTTGGCTTTCTCAAGGTCAGAAAGGGGGGCATCAGGAGGGAGATGGGAGTTGTGCTGGTGTTCAGAGGAGGCCTGGGGGTTGAGACGGGAGTGCACATGGTGGTAGAGAAGCACAGCTTTAGCCCCGTAGATGGCCGGGTGCAGGACTGCATCGGGCTTCAGGTACTGACGGTTCAGATTCACTCCACGTGAGTCTGTGCTGTAGGGAAGTAAGGGCCGAGCAGGGTGTAGACAGGGCCAGGAAGGGAGACTGGGAAACTGACTTAGAGAATAAGGGCTGGGCTGTGCATCAAGGAAGAGAATTGGGAACAGGCCCTCCTGTTGTGCTTCCCTCCTACGGCAGAAACCTAAGGAGGGACCTGCAGTTATGCTAGTTCTGCTCTTTCCAGAAAGAGCCTGGAGGGGTCACGTTCCTTCTCAGGTCACTGGACCCGTGGTTAGATGGGCTTGCCCTTGTTGGGGTACACAAGGACTGGGAATACAGGAGGAGTCAGAGGAGAGGCTCATGACACTTCACGAGATGCAGGCAGACTGGGACAAATCCAGAAAGGGTGAGGAGGGTTCTTACCGGTAGTGACCCCGGACCACACCATCAGGGTTCAGCATGGGAATCAGCTTAAAGACAAAGAGGCGACGTAGGGTTTGGGCCCGGGGGTCATCAGGTCGAAGGATGAAATCCAGAAAGCCGTTGAAGACAAAGCTAGATGGCGTCTCCCCAGGGTGTACCCTACTGCTTAAGAAGAATATCTGAGGTAGAGAGGAGAGCAGTCATTAGGTCAGTTACTCTTTCATGGAACAGTAGACTGAGGGTGGGGGTGGGGCAGGAACGGTCCTGGGCTTCCAGCTGAGCCTGCAAGTGGCGTGGGGCTTGTCAGGCTGGCCTCGTGCAGGCTGAGCCCAGTGTCCAAGGTGCCCAGACCCCACACGGCCTTGGACTACTGCAGTGCTGGAGCCTCCAACGTGCTGTTCTCACTCACCCTCTTGCCTGTGAAACAGAACGGTCGGGGGGTGCCGATATCAGGAAACAGCTGCTCTAGACGGGGCTCTCGATCTTCTTGAAGTCCATGGCAGGAGCTGACTGTTAGCAGATCTACACGAAGTCCATCCAGAGAATAGCAAAGGATTTCCCGGTGGTAATAGATGGTGTCCAAGGGGCTACAGGAATAAAAATCATTAGGCAGGAGGTAGACCTTGTCATAAGGCCAGGCTTTGTAGGATCTGGTCCTTCACCCAAACCTTTGGGGCCTTACCGTCCCTCACAATGTTAAATGAGGCTAAACATTTGGGTAGGTCTCCACTGCCAGAATGCAAAATACAGGACAGGATGAACTTGTTTTCTCCTAGTTCATACTTCCCTACAGTAAGTTATTCTGTGTAGATGGTAAATTACCTTCTGTTGGGACAGAAAAGATGGTGAGTTGGGCAAGTGGTGCTGGCTAATTCCAGATAACTGCTGAGAGCTGGGGTATTAAGATGCTGGAAGTGTGCAGGTGGATGAGAACCAGACAGCAGTGGGATGCTGAGATCAGGGCCACACAGAAACATACTTAGCAAAGGTACTCAAAGCCCCACATTCTGCACAGAGGGAAGGGATGAAACGCACTTCAAGGCTCTAAGGGCAAGGTGGCCCGATGGTCCAGATTGTGCTGGGAGGAAGAGTGGGGCCGGCACCTGCTATGGGTAGGGTGGTTCTCCAGAAAGCGCTGGTCTAGCTGTTTCAGCAAGTCCTGGCAGTCACTGTAGGAGAAGGGGTAGCAGAAGGCGAAGAAGGTAGTGGCCCCACGGCCCTCCACAAATCGGTGAACGAAGGATAGCACAAACTGCGTCTCTGTCATCTGAGGAGCAGAGGGGCAAACACGCACAGGTGTCAGGCTAGGCTCCCCTGGGATCACCAGGAACTGGGTTCACCCTCACCCTCCCGCTGGGCCCTTCCACAGGACACCCCTCAAGGCTTCCTGAAGCAGCAGCTTATCTTGGACTCGAGCACATGCTGGAGGAAAAGCTGACCCCAAGCCTGGCACCCCGCCTGCCTCGTACTCAGTTGAGGGGGAACTCTTCTTCCTTTCCCTCCTCTACTTCAGCACCCACGGCTGTCTGCCTGCCTCACGGAGAATTTACCTCAAAAGTAGGGCGGTCTCGAATGCGTTCCCAGCGTGGCCGGGTGGGCAGCGTGCGCACAAATGGGGCCATACCCTGGGAGTACAGTTTGCTTTGCTTGTTCATGTTCATGATGTTGATCTTGATGAGCTTCCCTGGAGTCCCTCCCCGGACACTGAAGTAAAACCATGACCTGAGGGCCAAAGTAGGGGAGACGGTTTATTTATACGCTGGAGATATTTGGAAGAACTAGAGCAAGCAAAACCGGGGAAGAGCTACTGAGCAGGAGGCTTGGGGGGCTGCAGGGTGGTGCGCTGGCACCAACTGTAAGGCAAAGGGCTACCTGAAGCCTGGGTATGAGGATGGGTCATCCCCTCGCCTTACCCGCTTCCACCCTCCACCACTCTCCTCTTACCTGTTCCCATTCTCAAATTCCGTTTCAGCACAGTCTGGTCGTGTCCACACATTGAATTCATAGTCAGGGGAAGAAACAACAGTGCTGGTAGGGGCTGGTGCCCCACCTGCTACTCCTTCCCCATCACTAGACACAGGCTCCACCTTCTCCACATGGGCTAGGTTCCCTGAATCAAAGCGAGAACTGAACAGCAATCCCCCACAGCGCAGCTCCATGGCGGGGGTGGGGAAGCATCCTCCTGCCCCACTCTGGCCCTGAGAGCTGGGGGGGGGGGGGAATGGAGGGTGAGGAAGGGAGGAGAGGGAGAAAAATGAAAAGTTTTTTTTTTTTTGGCATTTCAGGATAAGTGAGAAATATTCTTAGCGAGTGCTTCTCCTAAGAAGCAAGTGGCTCACTCCAGCTTAGAACAGTGGAAGTGGCCTTCCAGCAAAGGCCAAGTGAAATCAGTGCCCTGTCTCCACTGATTCTGAAAGGCTGCTATTTCACTAGCGCTTGCCTTTTCCAAAAGGATTGCTCAGTGGCTTAACTATGTTGAGAAACACTAAACTTAAGAGTCTTTGCAACCCACAGATTAGAGAATATAATTAGAGAGGTCAGCTTTCCCAAACCTAGCCAAGATTCGCCCACAGCAACACATGGCCATCTTGAAAGATGGCCGTTCTGGATCTTTGGTCCCTAGAGTGGCTCCCTAGTCTCCAGCAGAGCAGAGTGGAGAGAACCAACTTTCCAAGTTTATATGAGCTGCTTCCTCTTTTCTCTCCTCGGCCCTGACAAGGTCCGACCAACATTCCTCCAACATTCCTCCGTGGTTTCCCCCAACTCTGGACTAGCTCTTCCTTTGTTACTACTCTGTCTGGAACGAACCTAGAAAGTATAGCTTTTGCCAAGGCAAAAGAAACGGAACAGAATTCACCTGCTCACCGAAAGTCGAGTTCAATTTTAGTTAGGGCCAGGGTCTATTTCCAGACCCCTCCGGCCCTGTGAGCACTGGAGGCCTCCCTGGAAGAGCTACCTGGGTAGTTGTAATGGGTATCCTGATCGCCCCTAAAGAGGAGGTTGGTGGACAGGGTCAGGGGGCGGCTGCTCGACCCTTCACCCCGGGAGACCCTCACGCTGACCGCGCTCGCCCTAGTCAGGGTGGGACTGGAGGTAGGGGTGGGTGGAGGCAGACTCACCCCAGAGGCAGGGGAGGGGGCGTGGGCTCGGGGTCAGAGGTGAGGCCACGCGGGTGGGGGTGAGGCCGGGAGGCACCCGCGAAGGGGCGCGGTGGGCCCGCCGCCGGCCGTGGGGCGGGGTGGGATTCCAGAGGGGCTCCGGGCTGAAGGGGGCTGAGAAAGGGGCGGGGCCGGGCTGGCGGGGCCCGCACTCCACGCAGAGCCCCTCACCTCTCTCCGGGCCGGTGCTCCCGCTCCCTCTCCCGCTAGCGAGGCGCCACCTCGGGCCCCGGCACCTGGGCCCTCCTCCCAGGACCCAAACAAAACCCGAGCGCCGCGGTGCCGGGACCCCGCTCTGCCAGGAAACAAGAAGTCTCTCGCCTATTGGCCGCGGGTACAGCTGGCCACCCGCCCAGTAAAGCTCGCTGCCATTGGTCAGCACGCAGGGGTTCCCTCGCACGTTAGCGGGGGTCTGAGCCAGTGCCGTTTGGGGGCTCGGCCGGCAAGTCGGGAGGCAGAATTCCACCCGAGTCCTCACAGAAAACGGTTAACGCCTACCATCCGGAAGGAGGGAAAGGCCGCGTCTCCCAAAAGTAAACTGGGAAAGATTCACCTGCGAAACAAAAGGCCGACGTGTGAAGGGAAGCATCGCCCACCGCTTCTAGACGTCTTGCCATAGCCGTCCGCTCTCCGGCTCCGGGAACCCGCGCTACGCAGAGGCCCGATGATGTCAGGGGCAAAAGCCGAGTGGAGGATGCGGGCATCGATCCCGCTACCTCTCGCATGCTAAGCGAGCGCTCTACCATTTGAGCTAATCCCCCGACTGTTGCAGACTTCTTTCCCTCTGCCTTACAGGCTGTATAAGGCTGACCAGTGGCGCAACTGTAATCGAGGACGTTTATCTGATACAGTGGACCTGGGCACGATTTTCAAAAGTTGGCATGTCATAGGTACAGCAAACAGTAGCAACCAAGTCCTATTTTAAAACACATAGTGACCTACTTTTCGTCTAAATCACAAGAGAGCTGTACTGTGACCGCTACATAGCGATGTCACCAAACACCAGCAGTGCTCAGGCAAATTCATAGGCCGCCTAATGGCAAACTGGCCGCGGACGCCGCAATTCGTGGAGGCTGAAAAAGAGAACCCGAAGTCCTTCGAGCCGGAATCGAACCAGCGACCTAAGGATTGCCACGCAGCACCCACTACAGTCCTCCGCTCTACCAACTGAGCTATCGAAGGCCTCGCTGCTCCCAGCGCCTAGCGAGTCCCTTCTAAGCTCGCTGAGCCCGCGATGCAGGGCCCCAGGGGGACCCGACGAGCCCGGCCCCCGCTTCCTGAGGGCGCGCTCTCCGGCTCCCTTCCCCCTGCCGCACGAAACAGACGCGGGCAGAAGCGAGCGCGAGCCGGGGACCCGCCGCCCAACTCCGCTCCAAGGAGACGTGGGCAAAACACTTCGCGTTTCCCCGCTTTTCACTACCAGTAAAACCCCGCCCCCCGCCCCCGCGCGTTCCGTGGGGTCGCGGGCGCCGGGAGAGCCGCCCTCAGCCCTGAGCTCCGGGGCCGCCGGCCCCCCGCAGGGCCGGGAGCACACGTGCTGCAATTACGGGGCGGCTGGTCCGTTTGCGAGGCCGACGGCTTACTTTTGCTTTCTCTGCTCCACATTTCCCTTCGGTCTCTCCCGGACGCCAATAAAATCCCACTGCCCTGCCGATGTGAAGGACATTCAGTCAGTGGGCCCCGTTTTGTCAAGATCTACTCGTTCTGACTAGAGAAGAAAGCTACCACAGAATTGTCGGTGGCGAGGAGTGGGACTCCGGATACAGCCGGGCCGAAACGCTCGGGATCCGGGAGGGGCGGGCCCGGAGGGGCGGGCCCGGAGGGGCGGGCCCGGAGGGGCGGGGCCGGGAGACCCCCCTCCTGCCCCGCGGACACTTTCTCGCTCGTCTCCTAGCACGCCAGCCCCAGGGTGTTCAAAACAAGCCAACCTAAAACTGCTGTGCGATGCCGTGGCAGTCTGGAGGGGTGTTGGGTGTATGTGAGGGGCGGGCGTTCTGGGAGGTTTGGCTTCCCTCTCCAGCTCTGGGGCCAACTGCCTGTGGTACCTGGAGCCACACTGGCCTGGACAACTAACGCCAGTGCACAGGGAGCATGGGGGTGCCTGGAGGAGGCTTCAAGTCCCTTGCAGCGCCGACATTTAACGGGTTCTACTAAAATGAGCTTTTAATCCAAAAGAACAGACCAGAAGTATGGGGGTGGGGGGTGAGAGACAGAGTGGGGAACAAAACAGGCAGATTGACATGCAAAATACACTGCTGAGAGGAGCAGAGGTCTGGTCAGCAGAGGTCTCCTCCGTGGCCGGATCAAACTGGTGTTGCAGTAGCTGCGCTAGCTTCACAATGCTGCACTTTAACTCCTTGTGCCACCAGGGAGGACCCCCAATTGATTTTAAACTATTTTAAATTATTTTAAAGGTTCCAAAACCATTCAGTGGGGAAAGAATAATCGCTTCAACAATTGGTACTGGGAAACCGGGATATTCATATTAAAGTGATGAAGCTGGATCCCTGTATTACACCATACAGAAAAATGAATTCAACCTTTATTAATGACTAAATTATAGAAACTAAAATCAGCGTTTTAGAAGAAAACGTAAGGGTAAATTCTCATGACTTTGGAATTGGTTATTATAGACCCTTGGATTTGAGACCAAAATTAGAAACAACAAGGAAAGCAAATTGGACTTCATAAAAATGAAAAGCTTTCCCTTCAAGCACTACCTAGGTGTGCTATTCTCCCCAAACCATCACCGTTCCCCAACCTGGAAACTCCCAAGTAATCCAGTTTTTCTAATGTTAGCCTGTTAATGTCTCAAGGAAACACTTTCAATGTCTGTTATTCCTTGCTGACCTTGCTAAGGCAGAGTACTTCTCTGGGGGAGAAGTCCCTTCGCCCCACGTAGACAGGGCATGAAACCACAGTGAGAAGCGACTGTGGAATTACAGACTCTGTGACTAGCAGAATGTGACTAATGTGCCATAAGATCCTCAATCAAATAAAGCAAATTATGGTTGAGTTTCCCTTTCCCTTAATCCCGTTAGTTCGGTGCACCTACTACTATTTAAAGCAAGAGTTACAAGTTCATTTTACCTGAATTTCCTCAGCAGCCCATGTTCAGGGTTTGGCATCGAATTCTTTTCTGTGGTGGGAGTCATTATAAATTTCCTTTTATGCAGCTATCTGGGACAAATTTGGTATCTATCTGTAAGTAAGGTGGGCTGTTTTTAGCACCTATTCCTATATCTGGGAAATATTTGTAGGGGAAAGCTGGGGTACTTGGGAATATACTAAATATGGAAGGACATGTTTTATTGTAGAGAATGGAGAATACAGTGTTTTAAAATACAGTGTATTATAGTTACAGACTGAAAACAAGTATTTGCAAAAGACATATCCAATTATCAAAATATTATAAAGGACACAACTCAACATCAATTAAAAAATGGGCCAGACATTAGCAGACACCTCACCAAAGAAAATTACAGATGGCAAATAATCATATGAAAAGATGCTCCACACCATATGTCACTAAGGAATTATAAATTAAAACAAGATACCACCACACACTTTTCAGAATGGCCAAAATCCAAAATAATGACAACACTAAATGCCGGCAAGGATGTGGCATGTCAGAAATTCATTCACTACTGTTGGGAATATAAAGCGGTGTAGCCACTTTGGAAGAGTGTGGCCGTTTTCTGCAAACTAAATGCATTACTATACAACCCAGCAAAATCACTCCTTGGTATTTAACTGAGTTGAAAAGGAGTATACTCACACAAACCCTGCCTACTGATTTTTTTAAAGATTATTTATGCACACAGAACTGGGAAACAGGTCAGAAGTGCAGGGGCAGGGAGAGGACTCACCAGAGGCAGAGTGGGGGGGACAGAACGACTAAGTACACTGCTGAGCTAGTCAGGAGAGGTCTGCCTCGCCATGTGCTTGGGGACCGAACTCGCATGGCAATGGCTGTGGCCAGCTTCACCGTGCTGTGCTTTAACCCACTGTGCCACGAGGGTGGGCCCACCTGCTGATGTTTATAGTAGTTTTTTCTTTTTCTTTTTTTTTTAAGGATTTATTTGTGCACAAAGAACTGGGGTGCAGGTCAGAGGCTCAGGGACGGTGAGAGGCTTCACCAGAGACAGTGTGGGGAGCAGAACAGGCAGATCGATGAAGTACACTGCTGAGGGGAGCAGCGGGCGGGTCAGGAGAGGTCTGCCACGCCATGTGGTCACCTCCGGGGCAGGCGGGAATCGAACTCATGCGGAAGCGGCCTTTAAATTCTCAGTGCTGTGCTTTAACCCACTGCGCCACCAGGGAGGGCCTATAGTAGTTTTTTCTTAATTGCTAAAAGTTGGAAGAGGTCTTCAAGCAGGCAGCTGAGTAATAGCACTAAAAAGAAATACCCTGTGAAGCCATGAACAGCTGTAGAGGTGCTTAAATGCCTATTATGGCACTAACTGTAGTACTATAGCACTAACTGCAAAGAAGCCACTACTGGCAAATGAAATGACAACAGGTTTTATTAAGGTAAAACTATGGTGACAGTAAAGATTTCCAGCGGTTGAAGGGAGTACGAGATGAATAAGGGGTGAACAAGATTTTTTGGGCAGGAAACTGTCCTGTATGATACTGTAAGGGTGGATACATGTCATATATTTGCCCAAATCCATGGAATTCTCACCAGCAGGTGTAAACTTTCTCGTTAACGATGGACTTCAGGCATAGTGATGTGTCAGGGTCACTGATACTGGCAGCGGGAGAGGCTGTGAATGCAGAGCAAGGACTGTCTGCTTCTTGGTCAATTTTTAAGGAACCCTAAGAACTGCTAAGAGAACAGTCTATATACCAAGGCACATCCAACAACATGTGAATCATGTTTTTATTAACAGTCAGACTGTCCAGTAGATTTGTCACTCATATTCTGAATAGTGGAAACTCCCCTCTCCCTCCATTTCTTCTGGTACCGCACAGCTGCGGCAACAACACAGGCCTGTTAAAATGAAACCCACGAGGAGAAAGCAAAGTGCTTTTGTGAACAAAACTCTGTAGAATATGTAGAAAAGGATGGGTCACTTTAAGTGTTCATTCCTAATGGTGTCCAAACTCCATTTAGAGATAAGACAGATGCCGAGGCCTCCCTGGTGGCACTGGGGTTAAAGACTGTTATCAAGCTATGGCCAGTCACTCCAGCAGGAGTCCCAACCCAGGCAGGCCAGGGAGCTGACCCACATGGCCCAGCACTCTCCTGACCTGCCCGTTGCTCCCCTCAGCAGTGTATTTCAGTAGATCTGCTGTTCTGCTCCCCAGTCTGTGGTGAATCCTCTTGCCACCCTCTCTGGCTACACCCCACTTCTTGTATACAAAAATAAATTAAAAAAATAAATACTCAGAGGCTATCCACCACTGAAATTTCTGCATAACTGACAATTGGGTCATTCTTGCCTCTCTCCATTGGACACACTCAGGGTCGTGGCTTTAGAGGATCCAAAATGCTGCAAGTGTGAGCCCAGCAACATTATCTGCAGTGATCCAGCTATCCGCCAACCATGCTTCTCTAAAGCTGAAGTTGTAGACTAGGTACAACTGGAGGAATGTAAAGTGTTTTAAGGTTTAGAAAAATGGCTTTCAAATGAGTTGTGATATGGCTGACAGTAACTATACTAAGTGGAACCATATTCAAACTGCCCTTCAGTTTTGGCATGTTATCTACTCAGCACCAGCTGTGTGTGAAGTTACAATGTCCAGACAAGACCCTGAGGTGAGGGGCACTCCTATACTTGCTATACCAAGGCTCTCTGCTCTACTCACTGGCTCAGCTTGGATGCTTGTTAACTCTGCAAACACAAGCCATCTGATGTCTGGCTTACTGTAATGGACAGCAGGTGCACAGCTGGACTTCTCTGACAGGAAAATTTCTGGACAATTGCGACACTGGGTTAAAATGTCTATAAAATAAAGCCCATTATGCTGTCAGGGGTCCTTGACGCTCCTTAGGGGAACCTGGAGACCCAATTAACTTAAGTGTTGAAGAGAAGTGCTGCATTCCTGGATTGTAGAGTCAGTACTAAGTGAATGCACACGGTGCGTTCATGTGGTGCCTGCATTAGCAACCAGCGTAGCTCTGGAAATGGTATTCTCAGAGCTGCTGAGTGGCCCTGGCCAGACTCCACATAACCACAGAATGACACCCTGCGCTGTCACTGACTCAGGCTCCTCTTCAACTTGGCTTGATTATGGGGCTGCTACAATGACTCACCATCCTTAAGAAAGGGCCCTGCTTGGTTGGTGAAGAACTGAGGAAACAGAGCATGTATTAGGACCGTCTAGCCCTGTACCTGGCCCCTTGCCAATCAGGATTTCCTTTTTCAGGTACAGTCCGACATGTGAACTTCTGCCCACTATGGGCTGCTTAATTCCCAAGAGATATGGAAGTTATATCCTCCTACGGGAAAGGGAACAACAGAGACGCTGTGCATCAAGACTGTTTCCCGCGCTGGCTTCCTTACAACTTCACCCCTGGGAAACTCAGGCAGTACCTTGGCACTGAGTAAACCTGAAGTGGTAGCTGGCTATCACCTCGGGGCATTACGATGGAGGCAGAAACCAGCTTGTCAGAGTGACAGTGCACCTCTGGTACTGCTCACATAGCCTTAACTTAAAAAGGGGGGGTGCGGTGGGGGAGCTTGGGATAAACTTAAATGCACATATCTCTTGGAGTTCTAAACCTTCCACTTATAAAATGAAGCTATTAATAAGGTCCTGGCAAGGACCTACAAGACACTCGTGCTCACCGGCCAGGAAGTGCCCTAGGAGATGCCCCTGCTTTCCCAAGCTTTGGAAAATACTCAAGCTTTCAAAGCACATCCTGGAACTTGAATCGCAGAGCCAAGACACCATGACTAGGTGGCAGGAGGAGAGCACCTAGAACACTCAGCAGGCCAAAGTGGACACAGGGGGCTCAACTGCTGCACCAGCGGCCACCAGTCCCAGGAGCAGAGTCAGAGAATAGGTGGCTGCCTGCTATTTGCTGCCCTGTCCCACAGCACTGGGAACTCCTAGCTGAGGATGCAGAAAGGAGATCTAGAAATCAAATATATCCTTTATTCCGTCTAGTAGGCATGCCCAGGCACCAGATGCTGAATCCCATCTCAGACTGTTGGAAGGTTCCCTGGATCAGAAGCACACAACCACCTGGGCTCTGCTCTCCGGAAAGTGGGTAGGTGTCGTCAGCGGAGACACTAACCCTTGAGGCAAAGCAGCCTCCCCATCCCCAGCAGTGAAGAGAGGAATCAGGGCCTTGAAGGGCCTAAGTTGGGCAGTCTGTGGTGAGGCCTTTTCAGCCAGGCCTCCGAGTCCAGGGACAGCACACCCAGGCTGTGGGTAGGTGTGAAGCGGTTACTGCCAACTGTTGTACTGTAATCTTCTGGGGGTTCCTTCCTTTATTCTGCTGTGGCTAATCGGAAGAACACAGTAGCCACTTGCTAGAGTCACCTTTTGGGAAATGAGCTATTGGGGTTTTAGGAATGAGAAGGCAGGAAGTGGAGAGCTGGGGACAAGGACAAAGGCTGAGAGCTATGTGCAATAGGGCCAGAGCAGTGTCCAGTGGAATCATGGTTAGGAGGTGGGATACCTCTGGGCTTGTCTTTACCAAGGATGGAAGAACTGGGGCAGAGGCAACTGGCCACTTGCCTAGGAGACGAAACTCAGGCACCAAGTAAAAAAGACCCCATGCAGAATGTCCCCTGTCCCCCCCAGTCTCAGGACCTGCCCCAGACAAAAGCAGTTGCGGGAGGCAGGGCCTATTGCTGGGATATCATGGAAAGTGCCCAGTCCAAGAAAGCCACCATGGTGTCCTGTAGGCTGAGCCAGGTCCAGTGGGCAGCTTCGCTGAGCTGTGTCTTCACGCAGTCCCAGGTTACCTCACCTCTGAGGAGAAAGCAGAGCAGCGGTGTGCAGCTGTGTCAAGTCACAGGGCTGCAGCTCAGATCGCAACCTGCATCCCGGAAGGGCCATGGATGAACGAAGGGCAGGCAGGGCAGAGGGGCCTTGACCCTGGAGAAAGGGCCTGGGGCCTGGGCTGGGGTCCTACCTGCACACATCGTGGCAGTACTCCTGGGCCAGGGCCAGGGCCTCCAGCAGCACATGCCACAACGACAGCAGCACGTTCTGGTAGAGAAGCAGGAGCAGCTCCCGCAGAGAATGGAGGAGCTGGCTCAGGCCATCAGGGAGCTGGGTCTGTACCTGCACCGTGGAGCATGAATGCGTTAGTGCTGGGGGACGCAAGCTGGCCCTGAGGACCCAGTCGGCATATGCTGCACCCTCCCAAGAACTTAGTCCTGGGGACACCAGGTCCCCTCTGCTTACCCTCTGGGAGAGGCTGGTGACGACGTTACCCAACCAGGCTAGGTGGGAGGCGGAGTGGGCAGAAAGGAAGCTGACCATGGCATTCGTGTGGTCCCAGGCCAGCTGCAAGCTGGGCCTCACCACTGCCAGCAGATGGGAGCCCCAGGCCGGCAGTGTTTCCTCCAGCCAGCTGTGGGTGAGAGGGGGAAGGGAGGGCAATGGGTTTCCTCAGAAAGTTCAGGCCCCAGGAACAGCTGGCGGAAGGGAGCCTTGGGAAAAGAAAACCACCACCACTACTCACTGATGGCCAGTGCGGCCACCACCCTGCACACCCACCTCTCCCACCCCCTGCCCTGGGAAGCGCTCACCTGTAGCCTCGAAGGCTGTAGGAGTAGAGTTTGGCACAGGTTTGTTGGCTGGCAGGCAAGAAACCAGATGACTGAAGCAGCCGGCCAGAGAGGGAGGCTGAGTAAAGGGAACCCCTGGTGAGCTCACCAGGGGCAGGGACTAGGCAGAACTCAGTGTGCCCACGGGCTGCGGAGGTGGCTAGGTCTGTTCTAAAGCATGTGGGGGACTGCTGGTCCGGCGAGAGCCCTGGTCCCTGGTCTCAGGAAGCCTTGGGGTTGAGGGTCTGCCCTGCTGATCAGCTGTGATGTTAAGCTAATGGTCAAAGCTTTCTGACGCTCAATTTCCTTGGGAATTAGAAAGGCGTCAACACCAACGCACACCACACCGTGAATACTTATATACTGCAAAGCGCTAGTCTGACCTGAAGCGGCAGTGCCGAAGTGTGGGCAGAGCAGTTTGCCTGCGAAATGTCTGCCTTCAGCATCAGGGCAAAGCTGTGGGCATGGGGTGGGGGTGGGGCTGCCGCACAAAGCCCTGTGCCTGACCCTCATGCTATCTTCCTCGCCTACAATCCGCTTACCCTGGAAAGAGCTGTGTGACCGGACGTCATGGCACAGGAAACCTACGGCAAAGACCAGCACCAGCAGTAGCAGCCTCGTCCAGGGCAGCCGGTAGCCCCGCGCCTGCTCTAGTAGGCCCTAGGCAGAGAGGGTTGGGGAGGAGTGTCAGCCAGGAGAAGGGCAAGTCTCACCTCCTAAGGCAGGCCTCAAGGTAGGCCTTCCAGGGAAGATCAGCCTTCCATTACTCCAGAAGAAGAGGGCGTTCCAGAGACAGGTGGGGCAGGAATATGATCCAGGCCCAATCCCGGGTGTACTGACACAGATGCAGGACGGAGTTTGCACAGGGAGGGCCAGGCGCTGTTACCTTGCAGGCCACATCACAGCTGATGGCATCCTGGTTCTTACAGTTACCCTTCTTCAGCAGCTCCTGGTTGGTAAGCTTGAAGGACTGAATGGTTTCTTGCAAAGATTTCTGTGTCTGTAAGGTAAAAAGAATGGGTTGAGAATGTAAGATCTGGCCCACAGGAAGTTGTGAGCCTCCATCCTGCCTTACTTTATTTTCAGGCCAAGTACAGAGGCCGAAGGGCACACGCTCAGAACCCAGGCACTGCGGCTGCCACATCCTTCCAGCTCACCTTCTTGGGAATCCGCTCCCAGGACCTGAGCAAGTGCTCCAGCAGCAGGCTGTAGGGAAAGCACAACCCCTTCCAATCAGGGGGCCCACTCGACCCCCCTGACCTGGGCCCTAGAGCTGAGACTCCCCACCCCACCTCCCACTCTCAGAGGGGCAGCTTGAGGCCTCCCAGCAATGTTCCCATTCAGCTTGAGGTATGAGCCCCAACAACAGTGACGGGAGCAGAGGTGGGCGACCCTCCCATCCCCCACCTGCCTGGACTGTGACAGGTGCTTGGGGTATAGCTGCCGCCAGACGCTGGCGCTGAGAGGGTCCACCGCCAGGCACTCAGTCAGGCTGCTCAGGAGCTGCACAGAACAGGAGAAGGGGCGTGCTGGGGCACAGGGCTAGTGGAGGGAGAGAGCACTGACAGGAACTCCCTTCCTGAGGCCTCCATCTACCCTCAAGAGGGGTAATCCCAGAAATTCCTGAGAGGCTAGCAAGGGGAAGGGCACTACTCCCCAGCAGAGCCTGAGTCAGAGACCACTTGTCTACAAGGGGCGGACATCAGAGACCAGCCAGACCTGAGCGTGCCGTCTCTCTAGCACTGTTCTTCTGAGGGCAGAACACGAGGGAGTGGGGCACGCGCAGCCAGGAACACTGCAGCAGAGCCTTGGAGGGGAAGGAGCCTCCCATCATCTCCTCACCTCTTTCTTCATCTCAGGGGGGCAGTTAGGGGTGGCTCTGGACAGGAAGGAGGGGAAGTAGGTATGCAGGGTGGATTCCGGCTTCGCCCCCAATGCCAGCACCTTCAGTCTCGGGTAGAGCTGACACAGCTGCTCCTGCAGGCTAGGGTGGGGGTGAGGAGAGCCAGGCAGTTCTAAATGGAGCTGTGCGACGTGTCCCCTCTGTCTGCCTTATGCGTCCGTGTCCTATCCCAGGGAGGAGGTCACTAAGAGCCTTGCAATGGCTTTCAAACCTAGACAACTTGGAAAATCTACTGCAAGTCATGGATCCTCTTGTCAGGAAAAGGCCCATATGCCAATACCTCTGAGGGTCCATGTGATTTCAGGGGTTAGTGAAGCCCTCAAACTTGCAGGATGAGAACCTATGACCTAGGGGGGCTGGAGGAGAAGGAACAGAAACACACAGCCCATTCCTGATCCTCCACTTAGATCCCTCACAGCAGGGGTGCCCCAGGGCAGCCCTACCTGGGTGTCAGGGAGTTGTTGGGCATATAGGCGAAGTCCAGAAGTGGGAAGAAGTCCTTGGGGCCAATCATGCCAAAGCCTTTGGTAAGGTTGGGGTGCATCCTGTGGGGAAAGAGATGAATAGGATGGCTGGAGTTTACCACCCAGGCCATGATCCCAGCTAAGGCCAACAGCAGTAAAGAGACGGGGAACATGGCACTATCCCCCGCCTCTTAACGACCCTCTCGTTCCTCACCATCCCGTTCTGAGTCGGGAGGAGCTGGGTCCTGACTTTCCTCACTTATGGAGAGCTCAGGGCCGCAGCATCCCAGTGCTGAGACAGGGACTTGTAGATGCCCATGCCTGCCTGCCCTGCTGTTCCCCCACTACTTACAGCAGCAGTCGATCCAGGTAGGCAATGGCATAGGGAGACAGAGACTTCATGCCCAGCACGGGCAGCATGATCCCCAGCCATACTGCAGAGACAAAGGCCAGGGAGGAAGCCTCAGGCTTGGGGCCTCTGGGGACATCAAAGAGGAGCATCCTGGCTCCGAGACCTTTTCTCTTTCTTCGCCCATATCTTTGTTACCTTTCAGTCCCTCGGTGAGGTTGGTAAAACCTGCTTGACCCAGTGCCCACATGATGGTCAGACACTTTGGTGGTCGGCTCTGGTGGGACCTCAGCAGTTCTAGGAACTGAGGAGATGGGAGGAGAGGCAGGTCGGGCTAGAGCCAGCTACCAGGAGCATCCCCAAAGCCAGGCAGGAAGAGCGCTATCAACTGGGAGAGGCAAGCCAGGGCCAGTGGAGTGGCCGTGATTCAGGGGGTGGCTCTGGCACGTGGCTTTCACCCATACTTGCCACTTACTGGCTGACCCACTCCAGGTAAGTTACTGAACCCCTCTGGTTCAGTCTTGTTATGTATAAAAGGGAACAGCAGCAGCAGCACCTGCCCACATGAATACAAAGCAGGCAGACTTCCTAGTGCTAACAGTGCTACCTACTCACACTGGACTTACGGGACTTCTACCAACTCTTAGCCGGAGACCCATACCTATCAGCATAGACTCTGCCTTGCCCTCCCACTTCTAGCTTCCTGGTATCTTTACCACCACCCCGAGCTCACCTTGCCTAGGTTCATGGTGGCAATCTTGGGCTTGTCTTGCAGAATTGCCTGGATACAGATGCGGTAACCATGAAGTGACTCCCCTGGAGAAAGACATGTTATCTGCAAACACCCTTCCAGCAGCTGGAAGCCCAGAACCTAGGGTCAGTGAGTCCTAACCTCCTCCTCCCTTTTCAAAATGGAGTGTCAGGACTAGCACATCTCTCTGCTGGAAACAGACCTGACCAGACACTCTGGCTGCAGGAAGAAGAGGGCAGCTCTCAAGTTGGGGCTGTGCCTTCCCTTTGACTCCTCTTACCTGGCGTCTTATCCAGCTCTTGCAGCATGGTGAATAGACAGTGGTCAAAAAAGAGCTCCAGAGATCCAGCAGCCTTCGCCAGGAGCCCGCGGATGATCCCACGCAGTTCCCGGCTCACCAGGCTGTAGGGATAATCTGCAGCCAACAGGGTCCACATAAGTGCTAGGACCACATGCCTCTGCTGGCTGAGAGCTCTGGTGCTCTCTCTGCATGTGGCCAGTGGAGGTCCCTGTACTGAGGCCAGCGTCCTCCCTATCCCAATGAAGCCCAGAATGTTCACGACCACGACAACGTGAGAACAGTGCAAATCACCCAGGTAAAGCATAAGAGTGGGTTCTATTGCTAATGTGCTTATCCATAGAGCTTGCAGAATGTTCTCGAACTTGTTTGAATCTGAAGGAGTTGGGAGAACTAACCATGAGGATGCTGGCTTAGTGTGGGTTCACTTAGAGGTGCTTGAAGCTTGTAGTTGAGGTAACTGGCGAGGTCCTTCAACCACACTGACGGGTTCTCAGTGAACACGCTCTGGCTCTTGTCCAGTTCCTTCTGCAGAGCTGCCACGTCCAGCTGCCAGGGACACAGGTCGTGAGTTGTGAGTGTAGGAAAACATGACAGTGGAAAAATGGCTGAACTAGGTGGAGGTGGGAGAACAAGTGTTTCTGCTTTTTAAACTTAAGCAGTGGAATGCCACAATGCTCTGCATCTAGATCTTTGGAAGGTACAGGGGAGCTGGGACTGCTGATCTCAAGCCCACTACCTCTAGGCCTTTCATAGCTTCAAGGGAAAAAACAGAGGACAAGATGGAAAAATGAAAGATCGCTGTTTCTATGGGGCGAGAGCTGCAAGAGATTTCTCTAACCCCACCTGGTATTCCTGAGCCTCCTCTCGCTCACCAATTTCCCTTTAAACTAGTATTTCCTCTCCACTGTAAATGCCTTGGTGGTCTCCATCCTTTCCTGAATGCCCCCTGCCAAGCAACTGCCCCTCAGCTGTGCCCCCACCCCATCTCTTACCCCAAGTTCTTATCCTCTCCCCTCCTAAAGTTTAGGTACACTCACAGCTTTCATGGCCTCTTCGAGGCTGCGGAAGCGGCCCTGTTTCTGCGTTTGGTTGGAGAGGGTTGCCGCTTTCTTAGCCGGCTTCTTGTTTACTGGTTTCTTAGATTCCACAGCAGGGGGTGGGACCTGCTCCTTATTCTGCCGCTTCATGATTTTCTCAAAGCCCCGTTCATAGAGGGTGCTTGTCGTCTGGATTGGAGCTGGGGTGATAAGGCAGAGAAAGGGGGTCCATCCTCAAGTCAGAGCACCTCAGTAAGCACTGGCTCCTTGCCCACACTGTCACCACTTCCTCTCAGCCCTTCTCTCAGCCCTTCTCACGGCCCTCCTTGAGTAGCAATCCAGGGAGTCCTCCTGGTTGCTTCTTTCCCTCCTCACAGCTCTTGGGTTCACTGGCTCTTTCACTGGCATGAGACATTTCTTTATAAGATAACTGTGAGTGTGAGAATTCCTGGAGGAGTGGGATCACAGTGCTGGCTGCTTTGGTGAGCCTGCACGAATCGGGCCGTCAGGATTTCCCCCATCTTGGTTCTATCCCGATTCCTCTTGATTCAGATGTGACAACTGCAGGATCAACAAGTGGGAAGCTTTCTCCAGTCCTCAGGAGACTGAGGAAACAATGGTCCTTGGAGGCTGTGTGGTGGCTCCTTCCCCCGCTGGGCCTCCTGTCTGCACGCCCCCGCCCCATGTGCCGGTAACTTGAAGTGGCACCAAATCGAAGGGCCCAGGATGCCTCTTTGCAGCTCTGCCACCTGCCTGGGGGCTTGGCTTGGGTGGGGAACAGCCGGTAGCGTGTCAGAGAGAGAGGGCGCGCGCCCGCGCACTGAGCTGAGCGTGCAAGACCAGGCCCCCAGGCCCCTCCGACCAGCGATCCTGGACAAGGCGTCTGACTTCCCTGGGCCTCGGTTAACCGTCCAGGACCCGCGCAGTCTACCTCCGGTGAAGCTTAAAACACACCGCCAGGGACGCGCTGCTCAGCTGGGAATGCCGAGCCGCAGGACAGCTCAGCCTCGGGGAGTCCGGGGGGTTTTGACCCTGTGGGCGCCGCCACCCGGGAAGGGCTGGCCTGGGGCCGGCGGCAGCGCCAGCGGCGGCCGGGGGGGTACTCACGGGTCAGGTCGTATTTCCACACTCCGTTCGCCTCCCCAAGCGCCCGGCGATCCCCTCCGCCGCCTCGACCACGGCCGCCGGCCCCGGGCCGCCGGCCCTTCTTCACCACCTCCCAGCGCCCCACTCCCGCAGTCCTGGCCGCCATGGCTCCGACCCTCCCGCCACCGCCACCTCCCTGGGCTTTCCGGTCCGGGGTGGACGCGCCTCGCTCTGCCACGTCTCCTCGCGGGGCCTCGCGGCGCCTGATGCCGCCCGCAAGGCATCCTGGGACTTGTAGTCTTTCGGCTTTTGCCAGGTCTCCTTTGCGAGGGGTCGGGTCGCCTTCTTAGCAAACCTCCAGCCTCTAAAGATGTTGAGATGAGGGGCTGTTAAAATCAGAACACTTTTACTGAGCGCCTGTTGTGTGACCGCCATTGCACGGGGTCCAGGCTTGGTGGGAATTTAATTGTTCGGGCTTTTTGTTTCCTACCTAGCAGTGCTAGAAGGATGAAAGGAAATAGTTCTCACTTATTGGGAGTGTTTGGATATGAAATGTTTTCTTCCTTCTACAAAAATGCTAGTTTTTCTTTTTTTAAGATTTTATTTATTTATTTTTAAGATTTATTACAGGCCAGAGGTGCAGGGGCTGTGAGAGGATTCACCAGAGACAGAGTGGGGAGCCATAACAGGCAGATTGACCAAGTACACTGCTGAGGGGAGCAGGGGTGAGACAGGAGAGGTCTGCTGGGCCATGTGGGTCACCTCCCTGGCGTGGGATGGAGCTCTAGCTGAAGCGGCTGTGGCTAGCCTTGCAGTGCTGTGCTTTAACCTGTTGGACCACCAGGGAAGGCCCAAAGGTGCCACTTTTTCTGTTGCTAGTGATTAACTACGGTTTTATTGGGCTATGCAAATCTATTGTGAAAGAACAATAAAGGGGAGAGAGCTTAAGGGAAGAGGCAGAGTTTGGAGGGCAGGAAGTAGAGAGTCCTGATAGCAGGCAGAGAAAGTCGGGGACAGCCAGGACCACACTAAGGTATGAGACAGGCCAGCCCTCACAGTCAGAGCTAATAGAGTCCAAATTCCCACAGGACAAACAGTCTAGGGAATGATACATTCCTTAGGTCTGAAATTAGAGAAGGCTTCCTGAAGGGGGTGGCATTTGAGATGGATCCTGAGGAATAGTAGAATTTTCATTGGCTGGGAATCAGAATAGATGGGGAGACTTGCGTGGATGACTTCATATAAGCAAAGACCTAGATGTTGAATGTGACAGAAGCTAGAAGTAGTTCACTGTGGTGGCTCTTAATGGGTCTGTGGAGGTGATGAAGTTGGGACTTGAGCAAAGATTCCAGGAGCTTTACAATTTGTCCAGAAGCTGTACAAGTTGGTCCTTATCCTTAGCCTAGCGGGAAAGTGGCATGATCCACTGTTTTGGAAAGCTACATTGGGCCATGAGGAAGAGGAGTTGGGAAGGGGAATGACAGAAGTCAGATGACCAACTCTTGTTTCCTCTGTCTGCCTGTCCTCCACACACTCAGTCTTGAGCATGACTGCCTGTCTTGAAGAACTGTGGATCTTGGCTCTGGAATGCTTTTGTCAAGATCATGGTTGAGTTGATCATGGTCCAGGTCATTGGTGTCACTCTACCCAGAGGCCAACAACTACATCCCCTCTTCCGTTGACCCTTCTCGGTTGCATGTAGGGTCACAGAAGAGAACCTGATTTTGGTGGGGAAAGGCATTCTCTTTGGTCTTCCCTTGGAATAATCTGGCAGGTCAGCTGATGCAATTGGGATTCACTTACTTATCCAGTAAGTCATTCACTTACTTAACCAGCAGCATTTCCTAAGCACCTTCTCTACCTGAGCATCTCACACTGTGAGGAACTCAAAGCCTATGTAGGAGACAAATGTGTAAATAGAAAGTTACAGTTACTAAACAGGCTAACAGTATGAAGTACTGGGAACAGGTGGGGGAGGAGCCATGCTTTATAAGCCTGAGCTCTTGGTTTTGGAAGAAGAGTCTTAGACATTACCTGGGGGGTGGGCTTAGGCACATGGGGTTCTGGCCTGGGCACATTGGGTCAAAGAGAACAGATGGGTGTCTAGCTTGGGGGCTAGAAGGGTGAGCTCAGGAGACATAGTTTGACCCACGATATTTTCTTTTGTTATTGTAACAAGTTGCCACAAACTTGGTGGCTTAAGCAACACAAATTTGTTATTATATAGTTCTGAAAGGTGGACTTGGAAGTTGACATGGTCTCACTGGTCTAAAATGGTGTCACTAGGGCTGTGTTCCTTTCTGGAAGTTCCAAGGGAGCCTTTCCTAGCATCTAGAGGCTGCCCAATCCTTGAGGCAAGACCCCCCCCCCAACTGCAAAACCAGCAGGACCAGCTGGAATTCTTAGTACTCACGTGTGTCATTCTGGTTTTCTCTCCTTCCTCTCACTCCCACTCTTGCTTTTATGGACACTTGTGACTCCATTGGGCCCACCTAGATAACTTTTCCCTATTTTAAGATCAACCAAATGGCAACGTAATTCCGTCTGCAACTTTTATTCTCCTCTCCCATGTAACCTAACATATCCACCGGTTCTGGGATTTATGACGTGGACCTCTCTGAGGGGAACCTACCACAACACTTTACCAGCAGCGTGAGATCTTGGCCTGAAGTTGAACACTAGACCATGCAGAACCACCATCTTATCCTTTTATAGTACCTATCCTGGAATCATGGAGGAAAAGTGTTTTTAAATTAGGCATAAAGAGAAATCAAAGGCAAGGAACTTGTTGAAGGAAAAAAACCGAAACAGAATAAGGTCAGAAGTGTCTCAGGTGGAGGTGAAGAGGTGAATGGAGAATAAACAGACACAAACTGCTTATTGAAAGCTTGTGTGTAGAGTTGTTAGGGAAATGGAGGCAGGGTTCTAGAAGAAACACAACCCCGGCTGTATCTTGGTCAGTCTCAGAAAAGCGAGGAAACATCTGGCATCTCAGAAACCCTGAAACAGTAAGGTCAGCCTAAAGCTGGCGGAACATTCTAGAGACACCTCTGTGGTCTGTGGAAATGAGCACTGAGCCATGAGTTGGGAGCTCTGAATTCTTTCAGCCCACGTTTTTGCCACCTTCAGCAAGTTAAGTCTTGTGACCCAGGGGCCTACATGACTGGCAAGGCTCTGTTTGACGCTGGCCCGGTTACCATGGTCCTTTGCCTGTTCACACAGCAGGGAGGGAGGGAGGCCATTGTGGATGAGGTGAAAGGGTTCCTGACTCTTCCCTCCCACTGGCACTTGACCTAGAGAAAGAACCGCTCGCTCGACACTGCTGTTCTTCCAGGCTCGGCATTCAGGGCCCCACACGCTTCGTAACTGCCCAGGGCTCGCCCTGTCACAAGCCTTGTCCCCAGGTGGGTCACCTTGAGAGCTGTGTGAGCTTTGACAAGGGGTGTGGGGCAACATGCAGCTTAATTGGTGCCAAGGAGACTGAGACAAAGCACCTCTTGGCCAGGCCATCCTGTCACCCAGTGGCTTCGCTGGGCTGCCCCATCATCACAGTCGCGGCCTTGAACCTGGCTCCTCCTCAGTGATTGGCGTTGGGCCTCCAGGCTTTCTCTTAGAGGCCTCGCACCAGTGTTGGGCCACAGCAGGGCTCTGAGGCCAAGCACCAATGGCGGCTTCTGGGCAGAGAGAGGTGGCAGTGGTGCTGTGGGCCACGGGCTCCGGAGAGGGGGCGCTAGAGGGGAGAAAATCGCCGAGACCCAGGCTGGGGCTCAACTGAGGGACACATGGTATGGACTTTTACCACACAAGTTTATTTAAATAAAAGAGAACGCATGTGCAGGCTGGGTGGCCCAAGGGCGGGGCGGGGGAGGCGGGCGATGGGAGGCAGACGCACAGGAGGGTCCAGGCGACGTCTGTGTGGTATGAACTAAGCTGCAGGAGGGAGGGGCTGGGGGCCTCGGGGCAGTGCTGGGCTGCGTGCTGGGGCAGGGGCTGAGGGTGGGCGAGCCTGGTGCCAGAAAGGCATTCTCATTCCTTGCATGCTCCCCTCCCTCTCCCTGACCACCGGGGCCTGAGGCACCCCCTCCTCAGTCCCCCTAGCCCTCTCCTGCCATCCGTTTTCTCCTCAACTACTGGGAAGTCCAAAGACAAAATAAATAATCGTTGAGTCCTGCCGCGGCCCCCCCGCAGCAGGACAGGGAGGCCCAGCCAGGCACACTGCCCCGAAGCCCGTGCTGTCAGTCCTGGGAAAGAACAGGTAAAGTGCAAGGAAAACCCAGTAAGTAAAAATATACCAATGACTTTGTCAAATATACAGCTGCTGGCTGTCGGGGGACTGGTGGCTGGCTGGGTGGCGGCGGCAGCACCCTGGGAAGCGTTGGCCGACACAGCATAGAGACAACGGAAATAAATAGGGGTGGGGAGTGGGCAGGGGCCCGCCCGCTGGGCGCGCCACAGGAGGACAGGGCCTCGCCGGCTCACCTGCCCCACGCCCGAGCCCTGCTGGCCTAGCTTCCCCATGCTGTGGCCGACACAAAGCACCCGGCCGGCCGACTGGCTGTAAGGAAAGGAGTATAATGTGGGTGGGAGCGGGCGGGGAGGCACGGGGAGTCGTGCGGTCAGCCGGGGCTGGAGCTGCCCTCAGTACTCGTCCTGGTCTTCTTGTTGGTGTTCCTCAATCTCATCGTCCTCAGGGGGTGCAAATCCTTCCTGGGGGGTGAGAGGGAGAGGCACCGGTGAGCCAGGCTGAGGGTGTGCACCGTGCACAGGAGGTCTCTGGAGAAGGGGCCCAAGCTCTGGCCCCGCGCGTTCCCTGCTGAACGCCATCCTGGGCTCCCGACGTCGCCCGCTCCCCTTACCGCCCATGTTCTCTTCTGGTCCGAGGGCCAGGCCAGGAGAGGGGGCGCGGAGGGCCTGGGGCTTTGCAGCTGAAGGCAGAGCTCACCTCAGTGGCGTAGAGAATGCCAATGATGCCTGAGATAACAGGGCTGTTCTCGCTTTCGTGTTCCTGGCAGATGAGCTCAATGTCACGAAGTTTGCTGAAGTAGAAGTCGCGCTCCTTCTCCAGCCCATCCACTGTCAGCTTCAAGTCCAGGAGCTGCTTGGGGAGAAGGTGGAGCTCAAGCCGGAGGTGCCTGCCTCAGACCGCCCTTCCTGCCCGGATGCCAGGAGGGCCGAGCTCTAGCTCTGGCAGCAGGGTGGGCTCAGCTACCCTGACCCCCAGGCCCCCACCCCGACTCACCTGCTGGTTGAGTTCAAGAATTTGGGCATCAGCCTCATGGCCACCATTTCGGGCTGACGGGGGATTCTTCCGGAGGATACAGGGTGGAGCCACGTTGCTCAGTCGGCCTGATGTCTGCATGTTTTTAGGGCCTGTGGGGGACGTCCTCTGTGGAACTGCCCAGAGGAGAGAAGTCAGATGGGGCCGTAAGCCCTGGGCTCACGTGGCACAAGACGGCCTGGTGTGACAACTGCAGGGGTGAGGGCGGGGGGTGGCAGGGCCATGCGAAAGGCAGGGGCCCCTGCCCTCCTGTCCCGCTCAGGAGGGGCAGCTACATCTAGGCCTCAGCCACGGCCACACGGGACACCACAGCAGCTGGGCAGCCCTCTGGCAAGCCTGGGCGGGCAGGGAACCAGAGAAGGTATGAGGTGCTGGGAGGGGCCGAGCCTGAGGGAGAGATGAGGGAAACTAGGACAGCGAATTTGGGAAGTGGGGCTGAAGGACTCAGGGGCCCCGGCCGACGGTCAGCTGGAGCTTGAGGAAAAGCAACGGAAGGGGAGCAGGCTGCTGGGCCTGAGCTGGCTGGGCCTTTCCTGACAGGAATCCCAGGTCTCACTCCGAGGTCCAGCCTCAGGGCTCCGGGCTGGAGGGTGCACAGAAACGCTGCTCTCCCGGCCCCTGCCTCAGGGGGCTCTGGGCACCTCCCGCCACCCTGCATGCTGAGGCTGCGAGTTCTCCAGCCGGGCAGCCCCCTCAACAGCGCTGGCTGCTTCTGAGCAAAGCAAGCAGGCAGGTGTGGGGCAGGCCCAGGCGCAGGCACAGGCAGGCGCAGGCTCTGCCATGACGGTCCAGATGCGGGCGGGGCTGCGCTCACCCTCCTCTCCAGCCTCTCGTCCCCAGGGGTCTGCTGCTTCTTTCCCTTCACTTTAGAGACCAGATCAAGCCTCGTTTCAAGAGACTCGTCTGCTAAAGACCTAGGTCTGCGGGCCTTTGGCGTGGCGGGGGGGGGGGGAGGGGGGTCACACTTGGCGGACTCCTGCTCCTGGGTGTCCAGTGGGCAGGGGGCAAGGAGGGTCTGTAATGTGGGCTCCAGGCTCTGGGCCTGGCTGGGCGGAATGGAGGAGCCAGGCGCAGCCCCACCGGCGCGCACAAGGGAGCTCTTGCTGTGGAAGGCAGGCCCGGGGCCTCTCACGGCCAGCCTGGGGCCAGCGCAGGAGGCCCCCGCCCCTAGCGACCTGTGGGGCCTTCTCCTTCCATGGCGACAGCCCTGGTGAAGCAGCAGGCAGCAGGCAGCATCATCTGAGCTCCGTGACAACAGTCTCCTCTAGGCGGGCGGGGCCGGGCCAGGTGGCGCAGGGCCCGCGGGCTGTAGCGCCCTGCGGCCCGGCCCCCCCCACCCCTCCCCCTGCTCGGGCACGTTACCTGCTGTGCCAATGAGTTTCTTGGATTTGTTGAAGATCTGATCACCTGGGTTAGGAGGAGGCGCTACGTCCTGGCCCTGCCGTGCCAGCAGAGGGTTGTAATCCTTTCCATCATAGTTTGCGTCAAAGAATTTCTTAAACCACTGAATAAACTCAAAATTATCTTGGAATTTTCCTTTCACTAATTTCTCTACAGGAATTATCTGAAACAGACCACAGAAGCAGACAAGTTTAGCCAGCTGCGGCGGCAGGTCCGGCTTCCTCTGTGAGAGGGCCCCGCTCTCAGGAAGGCCAGCGCTGGGCAGCACCGGGCCCTGCCCAGGGACCAGAGCACAGGGGGCGGCGGCCGCCCCAGCCTGGGGTGCGGAAACAGCCCTTCCCTGTGGGCACCCCAGCCGCTGTGTGGGGAGGCGGGCTGTGTGTGGGAGGGGCGGTGGAGGCCGCCATGGTGTGCACAGAGAGCTTAGGCCTACAGAGGAGGACTTCACGGGAACAGTGTGCTGGCCTCCAGGCTGGGAGGGACAGGGTCCAGAGACGAGGAGGGCCGGGACTGTCATCGGATGGGACATCAAGTGTCGTGGGGGTTTCCACTGTGCCTTGAGCGGTGGGGACACCCCCCCGGGGCGTCGGGGCGGGTCGAGAGGTATGAGAGCTGCAGACTCCAGCAGCCTGCTGACCCAGCTGGCGGGCCATCTTCTTCCCCAGGGTCACACAGCTCCTCAGGGCCCCCCGAGCGAAGGCACCTACTTTGTCCACACCCATCTTCTTGAAAGCTGCTTGCAGCACCTTGAAGTTGTGGATGTACTCATGCTCTAGCTTGGCCTGGAACTTCACCTTCCTCAAGTGCACACAGCCAGGGAAGAGCATGTCCATGAACTGGCAGTAGGCTGCGCCTGTGGAGAGGCATAACCGGCTCTCCTGACCGGGCTACCCTCTTCCCCTCCTTCGGGCCTCCCCTCTCTTCTCGTCCTGGGCCTGGGCCAGGCCTGCTTTCAGACCAGCTGTGGCCAGCACCCCCTGCTTCCCCAGAATAAGAGCATTTACTATTTATCAGTGCAGTGATGCCCCAGCACCACAGCGAGAACCACACGTGTAATTTAACCCTGGCGAGACAGTGATGTCGTCGCTATCTTAGGGGCGGGAAGACTCATGGAGCGTTTGCCCAGGACTGTACTGCCAGAAACACTAGATTCAGAGCCAGAGTGGCGAGACGGGAGCAGCAACCTGTGGCTTCACCATCGGCCTCACCACCCCGCTCCCCTGAAGCCCTTCACTGTGCCCTCCTGCTCTTCCCATTCCGCGGGGACCCCCTATTTCCTTACTAATGGATTAGCTCACGGTTCTACAGCTCTCCTCCTAAATCTTAATTTTAGCAGCCCCCCTTTATCTGGGATATGTTCTGAGGCCCAGCAGATGCCTCAGAGACTAGGGAACCCCAACTATACTGTCATTTTTCCTATACATCTATAACAATGATAAAATTTAATTCATAGCTTAGGCCTAACAAAAAATGAATAATAATTGGTAATATAATAGAAAAATCACAACACTACATTGGAATATAAGTGATGGAAATACCATCTCTCCGAAAATATCTCGGTGTATGTAATATTCCGGCCAAGGTTGACATTCCTTCGGGGGCGAGCCCACAGATCTGGGGTCTACTGTGTAACTCCATTCTCCACGGCAGTTTTGCACACTGCCTTCCCTCCGCCTGCCTCCATCGGGGCCATGACCCGAGGCCATGACCCGAGGTTCCCAGCCTCCTACCTGAACAGAGCTGTTCTATCTTGGTGTAGTTGAGGTGCAGGGAGTCGTTGACCCAGGCAAGCATATCATGGCGACTCAGATTCTCACTGGTCACAGATGTGGAGTACACATTGACGGCCATAACCCAGCTGCGAGAAAGGAAAGACAAGGTCAGCTCCCGGCCTCAAGCTGTCTTCAGTAGAACAAGAGGTGGTGTCAGAAGGTCCTTGGGAATGAGACGCCTCTTCTCCACACCGCTCTGGCAATTTGTCCTCTGGGGGAAGGGGCACTTACTCATTCAAAACATTTACTGAGTGTCTACACTGGCCCAGTGCTGAGAATTGCTGTGGGTTTAGGGACACGTGGTCTTTGTGGAGTTCACAGACAGGTGAGTCCGCGGTGTGTGAAGTCCTGGGGAGGCACGAAGCAGGAGGTGATCTGCTTGGCAGGGTCAGACAGGCTTCGGAGCAGAGACGTTGAAGCCAGAGAGGGGTAGGAATTTTCCAAACACGTGAAAGAATGGGCAGAAGGGTTGCGGGCCCACGGACTGGCAAGAACAAAGGCCTGGCTTATTCTGGGACTCTGAGTTGCTCAGCAGGCCTGGGGAGCAGGTTTTTGGGGTGGGGTGTGGCACCGGGAGGTTGGCAGGGACAGATTGCCAAGGGCTTTGTTTACTATGAGGAGGAGTCTGGCCTCTCTGTTTAGAAAACGGGGAAGCCATTAGAGGATCGTGAGCAGACAGTAACCAGACTCCGGCTGCAGAAAGCCCACTCACTTTTGTCTCTGCTCTGACTTCAGACCCCATATTCCTGTGACCTATGGCTTGCTGATGGACCATCAGCACCTACATTCTGCTTGTCCAGAACCTTCCTTTCTGCTCCTGTATTCATTATCCCAGTCAATGTCACCACTGGTTACTTGGTCACCCAAGCCAGAAACTTGCAGTGCTGTCCGAAACAGCCTGTCCCCCCATCCACAGAGCCAGTCCTGTGCCAGGACCTGCAGCTCCCTTCCTCTGCCACCCAGCAATCCTGCTACCGTGGGATTTACGTGTCCTCTCTGGCCACGACTCACAGAAGCCTCCGGGAAGGCCTCTAGCCCCCAGCCTCTCCTTCCCCCTTGCCCACCCCCCACATTGCTGTGGTCAGAACCCACCTGGAGGTCCTTTCAAAGTCGTAAAGGAGGCCCCCCCCCCCTGCTGAGTCTGCCAAGGACTCCCAGTGTTGGGAACATTTTTCCACTGGTGGCTAGCGTATTAAAGTTCGTGTATTTCGCACCGAAATACTTGAGAGTTCTGCCTTTGGGGAGCCCTGTCCCTCCCTACATGTCCCTGCACCACAACCCACAGCTGGAGCTGAGCAGAGGCACCCCCCCACCCGCGGGTGGGGCCCAGTGGGGCCCACCCACACCCGTGGGGGCCTCCTCACCCACCCCCATTTCTCCTCAGAGGCCAAGTGTCAGCTGCTGTTTATCACTGACTCACATTGGGGAAAAGGAAATATTTCTTCTAAGTATTTATCAGACACAGAAGCAGAAGAGCGAGCACAGGGCCAAGTATTTTGCAGCTGTGAGAGTGTGCACTTCTGAAGCAAGAATCTCTCCCCAGGTTTAATGCGCAGTGTCTCTGTGAAGGCAGGACCTGGCCTGCCTGCTTTTCCCCCTGTAGGCACTTGTCCTTACAACATGATGCTCCCCACCATGCGTGAGCCCCCTAAATGGGCCCCCCTCAGGAGCCCCCCCACGGGGGCACTGGCAGCTCCCAGCTCAGGCTGTCTTGCATGCTGCCCTCACCTCACCCTAACGGATTCTCTGAGCAAACTGCTTGAGCGGTTCTCAAACTGTGGTCCCTGGAGCACGGGAGCTGCACGGGCAGCAGCTTGTCAGACGTTTCACGTCTGCAGCCCTATGCTGGACCTCCTGAGTCAGAACTGTACTTGAAGGAGCTGCCCTGGAGGCCTGCGGTGGAACTGGAGAAGCTGCTTTGGGGGAGGCTCAGTTGGCACCTGCCAGGCTGTGCTCCCTGACCCCCCCCCCACCTGCCAGGCTGCCTCTTTTTAAAAGTAGACTTTGTCCTTCATGACCCTGAGAAAGGGAGGTCAGCTAGGGCCATGAAGCCAAGAGAGGCAAAAATTATTGTCTTGGGAGCTTGTGAGGACTCAGGAGCTGGCCATTTGTTTTTTTAGGAGCTGACTATCCTTGAGATTTCCAAGGACAATTTTGATTCTTCCCAAGTCTTGACTCTTCCCCTGCACCATAATGTTGACTCCACTGCCCCTGTTCTGGCCCTGCTTTCCCCTGCTTGGAGCACCTGGAAACCAGAGTGCAGCCTGCAGGCCAGCCACAGGCCAGGTGTGACTGAGTGACACCTCCACTTGTGCGCCTCTCTCATCACCTCTGGCTGGGTCCCTCTTCCCCAGGCGGCCTGAGGTTTCAGCCTGGGCATCATTGCCTCTGTCACCTGTCTCAGCTCCTGTGCAGGGAGACAGGCATCTCCTGTTTCTATGGCGCTGCGGGCACCCCTACCGGGACCCTTACCACACTCTCCTCCCTGTGAGCCCTCCATGGCTTCATCCACTTTTGGATCCAGGCCCATTTGCAGTGACTAATAATCCCTGAGACTAGAACTGGGAGATGCTTTGGCGTTTCTGCGGAGCTCACCCACAGTCACACCGTTAGGCATGACGAGAGAGTGTGGGCACCAAACTTGATGAAGGGGCAGACTGAACTGGGGCCAGGAGAGTGCACTTGGCTAGGGACTGTGAGAACAGAAAAATCCTGGGTCTCTGCAAGCATTATCTGTCACACTTGCTAGAAGATCATGAAGAAACCAGTCTCCTGGCTCCTTTAGCCATCATTCCGTTGGGAAGGGCAGGATTAATTTTCCTTGCCTAGACTTGGGCCTGTAAATATGAATTATGGCCAGCAGGAGGCATCAGATTCTGAGCAGATTTCTTTGAAGGTGACCCCACCCCCAGCCCTCTCCCTGACTCACTTTTGAAAAAGGAAAGTCTCTGCCTTGGATCTGGTTTCCCAGAGAGGAAGGCTGGCTCAGTGAAAACCTGGTGGCGTCAGGGCAGGTTTGCGTGGGGGCCTTACTGCTGCCGTGGAAGTCCTCTAAGCGCAGGACCAGCCAGAGCAGCCTGGAGCGTTAGACCTGCTCTGGATTCTGGAGCAAACTAAACCAACCTCCCAAGTCCCTAAAACCACAAGTTCAACACATCAACAGGCCTGACTTCTTGGAGTTGACTCAGGCCTAGACTCAACACACCCCAGCTTCCGGGGCTGCAGGTATAAAAGCACACGCCGCCTCTGGCTCCCGCGCGCAGTCCCCTCCCACTACAGCAGAGAGTGAATCTGCGAGAACTCCCACAGTTGACAACCTGTCCCGAGGGCTGCTTGAGCTCCTCTGAGAAGACGGAGGCTGCCACCCACAGCCACGACCATGGGGCCTTGCAAGCCCATCTCCATGTTTCCACCACCGCCTGGGGCACGGGGTGACTGCAGGAGAAAGAGCCCGCCTGCGGTGGGTGGGACGCGACACTTTCCAGGATAAGACTGAGGCCTTGGGAAAGCCTGTTCTGCAGGGTCTTGACTCCTGCTACCAGGTCTGGACAGGGGCAGTGTGTTCCACGCTCCTAAACTCCCAGTGGTTTTGCTAAGCACGCTCCTGGGCGAGGACCACAGCCTTCATGGTGCCTTCACTAAAGATGGGAAAGGAGGGGGCTGGCCCTCATCAGAGCTGTCATTCTGTGGTCTAAGGCCCATGAAGACAGTCCCCTGGGCCTCGCCCAACACCCTAGGTCTGCACGCCCGACACTCAGGCTGCTCTTAGAACGAGGCAGTTCTATTTCCAATTCCTAAGTCAATCTGTATCACCCTGAAATTTCACATTCTGACATTAAGAACCTTATCAGCTGACATCCAATTTGGCTTTTTAAGTCTTCAGTGGAAATCAATCTTCCACAAATATGTCTGAAGGTAATTCCGGGGTCCCTAGCTGCTCTAACTCCCCGAACCCCCTGGCCCCTGGAAGAATCGCCCAGGCCTCGCCTCTGGCCAGCACGGCCGTACACACACACCAGAACTCTGGGTCCTGCAGCAGGGGCTGGGCCGGCTTCCTTCAGGCTCCCCAAAGTGGCCACTTTAAGAACATGGGCTTTCCATCTAGTCAGACCACTTGGGTTTAAATCCTGCCCTCAATATTTCCTAGTTGCTTGACTTTGGCCCTCGGTTTCCTCATTTTTAAAGTGGGGTCCAGCACAGACCCCACCTGTGAGCTGTTATGAGGACTGACTAAGCCTGGCGTACACACTAAGTATTCTGCAGGTGTCAGCAGCATTTCTGGGGCAGACAGGGAGAGACCAAGGGCGCTGGCCGAGAAGCAGCTCCCAGCACACCACCGGCTTCTCTGAGGTCTCTGAGGCCACAGAACCCAGACCAGGGTGGGGACAGAGGACAGAAATGCGCTTTTCTCTGCTCCTTCCAGCGGGAGCCCCGCCCCCGGGCTCCCAGAAGCTCTCCTCTGACCATGCTCCCTCCCTGACTCCAGACTGCCCACATATTCTGCTCTTAGATGCCATCCTACCGGCCAGGAAAACTGGAACAGATGCCGTGGGATCAGAGGAGAGAGAACTCTGCGTAGTTTGCCAAAACGTTTCCGCTCCTGACGTGGGACTATGCCCATTGTCACTGGGCCACCCCTTCCTGCCCAGGCCCAGGGGGGCAGAAGTCACCTGTTAGGAAAATCTGCAAAGTTGCTACCCCTTGCCCCCTTGGGTCACACATGCAGGTTATTCAGGGGTTGCACAGAGGCCATATGTGGGTGGGGCAGGGCTGAAGGGTTCTGAGGGGCTGAAGGGTTGTGACTGGCGGGTCACAAAGCCCTGGCAGGCCCAGCCAATCGCCTTCTTCCATGGCTGAGCAAGGACCTGACTCCCAGGGAGCCGTGGTCTCTCGGAGCTGACTCAACGCCAAGTTGAGATGGGGCAGGCGGAGGCATTCGGGGCCGGCAGGGGCCAGCAGATCCGAACAGGGGCTGGATACTGTAGGTTCAGGTGGGACTGGAGCTTCTCTGGGATTCTGTTGTTATAATGCTGCAAGATCAGGTTGCCCTCCCCTACGACCCTGAGCCCCTCTGAGGTCCCAGCTG